GCCCCCCACCAATTCCCTCAGCTCTGTCCTACTGCTGCCCTGGTCTCTCACCTGGTCACCACTTCAGCCCTCTCTGCCTCTCTCTCTCTCCCCCTACGTCCTGGGCCCCCTTTCCATCCGGTGTGTGTCCTCATGGTGCCCACTTCTGGCTGTCTCACTCCCGGTACGCTGCCCCCTTCCTTCTCCTGCCTCTTCCTCCTAGCTTTCTCCTCCTCCTTCTTCTTCTCTCCCTCGCCTTTCTGATTGTTTCTCCCAGGGCACCCTCCCCCAGGTTCCCTGCCCTCTGCTCCTCCCCCTTCTTGTCTTCCCCTCATCCCTCCAGCTCTCTCTCCCCACAGGAATTACCAGCTCTGGCTGGGCCGCCACAGCTTGGAGGATCCCGGAGAGCCCGGCCAGTACGCCCAGGTCGGCGGCGTCTTCCCACACCCGGGCTTCAACAAGAGCAACCCGGATCCCTTTGTACAGAACGACTACAGCAACGACCTCATGCTGCTGCGCCTGAAGGTGCCCGCGCAGATCACAGCCACCGTGCAGGTCCTGGCCCTGCCCACCCAGGAGCCTCAAGTGGGGAGCACCTGCCTCGCCTCAGGCTGGGGCAGCATCAAACCAGAAGGGAGTATGTGTTGGCCCAACCAGGTTGCCTGTGGGGGTCCACCGGGAGGAGGGGCAGAGGCGCCCAGGTCTGACTCAGGGGGTGGACGGAGGGCCCTGATGCCGGGGTCGGAGGGCAGGGTGCTGCTGTGCCTGAGCGAGGACCCAGCCCTGCTTCTCCCGGGCCCGTAGAAGTGTACCCTCAAGAACTGCACTGCGTGGACGTCAATATCTACCCCAATGACGTGTGTGCCAAGGCCCACCCCCACAAGATAACGGACACGATGCTGTGTGCTGGGCACATCGAGGGCGGCAAGGACACCTGTGTGGTGAGTCAGTCCCCTCCCTGTCCCTCTCCCCTTCGACAACACCCCCGCCCCCGCCCCACCGTACAAGACTGGCGGAGGGGACCCAGGGGCGACCCCCCAAAACTAGCAGGCTCGAGTCTCCCGTCTCCACTGCTGACCAGATGTCGGCGCCAGGCCCACCTCAGGGTCTCAACTCCTTCCAGGCACCCCCAGAGTCTCACCCCTCCACACCCTAATTCGTCCTTTCCTCCCCACACCCCGTGGGGTCGACCACCTGCCCCAGACCCCGGGGGGCACCGTGAGGCAGCCATAGAGAGCCCCCTCCCTCAAGGAGCCCCCCCGTTCTGGTGAGGGGCACTGACACCCCCCACAAGCAACACGTGCGCGACCGTGTGCGTGGGGGCGGGGCGGGGGCGCTCAGAGAACTGGGGGAGGGAGGGGACAAAGGCCCTCATCAGGGAGGGGACCCCCACGCAAAGGTGAGCATCAAATACCTGGATCGGATGGGGGCGACCCTCGGGGGAAGCCGCACGGCAAGGCCCTGAGTGGAGCGGCCCGGAGTCCGTGAGGAAGAGGGAGTCCGGTGGCGGGGACTCGAGGTCCGAGAGCCTGGCGGAGCTGCTCCCTCTGGAGCTCGGGGCGGGGTCTGGGCGTGGCCTCGGGAGGAGGAGCAGCGGAGGGGCGGGGCCGAGCGCCCGCAGCACCGGCTCGGAGGGCGGGGCAGATAGCGCCCTCTGGCGGCCCGGCGGGGAAGAGGCCGCAGGAGAAGAGCTGGCCGGGCAATGACGCTGGGGGCTTGGACGGGGGGGGTGGGGGGGGGCGCCAGGGAGGGCGGGGAAGAGTCTGATTCTGCAGCCCTTTGAGGGAGAGAACACCAGGCCTGCTGGCCGCTCACGAGGGGACAGTCTGGGACGGAGATGAGCCAAGTGCTTAACCTGAGAGACAGCTCAGCATCTCCAAGAGGCCATGGGCATTGGGCACCCCCACCTACACACTCCCACCCACTCCACATACCATACACACACATTCACACTCATCATATCCACCACACTCAGGCATGCACACGTAGACACTCACACATACACCCCAGACACACATACACTCACATATGCACCCACCACACACACACAGAGCCCAACACACATGCACATCACACACATACACACACTTACCACATATACGACACACACAGACACACACTTACCATACACACACAAGGGCACTCACAAACTCTCACCACACGAACTACACACACACAAGCACACACACCACATACCAACCACTGGGATCCCTCACAAGCCCCACTGTGAACCCAGTGGCTTCACCAAATCGGCCCTTCCCACATGCCCCATCCCCAAGCCACTGTGCCCGCCCACCCTTCCCCTGTTCCAGCAGATCAGCCCCACCCCTTCTGAATGTCTGTCCTCTCCTCTCCTCCCACCGTCCCTGCCCTTGGCCAGGTCTGGTCCACAGCCGCCCTCACCCTCTCCCAGCCTTCAGCCTCTGCCCCTCCTGCCCACCCCCCACCAGACACCAGCAGGACATCCCACACTCAGATCTGGCCTTGTCTGCCCCCTCCTCACAGCCCCTCTGTAGCTCCCCATACCACCCCCCATGAGAGGGGTGTCCAGTGATGAGGACCTTCCTGGGAGAAGGGTTCGGAGACAGGGCTTGTCCATACTCCTAGTGACCTGTCTGCACGGACGATCTCCTGTGCAGACAGCGGACCCTGAAGTGCCACCATCCCCGTTGGCAGGACTCCGGCCACTGCCCACTCCATCAGAATCCCCGCCTAGCTTCTCCGGCAGCCGGACCCTGGAAACAAGGGTCTCCTTCCCCAGAGCCGAGCCGTCTCTGTGTGTGTGACCTGCAAGCCCCGCTCTGAGGGCTGGGGGTCCACAGACTGACCGTTCTCACTGTCCCCTCTGTGCGCCTAGGGTGACTCGGGCGGGCCCCTGATCTGCGATGGCAGCTTCCAAGGCATCTTGTCTTGGGGCCACAACCCATGCGCCACCGTCGGGAAGCCGGCCATCTTCACCAGTGTGTTTTCATTCCGGGACTGGATCCAGGACACCATGGCGGCCAACCCCTGAGCGCCCTCGCCCGCCCGTGCCCCCATTAAAAGAGAACCCGCAGCAATATCTGGTGTCATTGCCCTTTCTGGACGCGGGGTCCTTAGGGCCGCCCAAGCTGGCGGCGTCTGGAGACGTGCAGGCGGGACAGGGGCCAGGGCAAGAGGGACAGGCTGGACAGAGCAGACAGTCCGGCGGTGCCTCTGCTTTATTGCGGGAGACCAGAGAGGAGTTAGACAAGACCCACCTCCCAGAGGAGGGGACTCATACCCAGGACCAGGGGCAGCGTGGGATGGTGGGCGGGGCCCAGTCCTCCTGGAAGCGGAGTGGACATGGAGGCAGGGCGGGGCCTCTCGGGAGAGGAGTTGGGGGCTGGCAGCCTGTGTCTGGAAGGATGGGGGTGCGGCTTCGTGGGTGTGGCTGCTAGAGCCGGCAGGACGTTAGGGGCGGGGCCTCACTACACTGGCCAATAGGGGGTGGACTCCTGAGAAGCGCCAAGAGTGGGCGGGGTGACGGTTCAATAGGCGGGGCCAGCGCCTCACTGAGAAGTCCTAGCTAGTTTTTCAGGGAGTGGGGCCTCCAAGGAGGGGGCCCTAGTTGGGAGCATCACCTAACCTCTGGGACAGCCATGCAAAGGAGGTCGGGCCCATTCCCTGCAATAACAAAATCAAAAAGCAAAGGGAGTGGGGCCCAGGACCTCATCAGGGTGTTTGTCCAGGCTGCTTCTGAAGAGCTCAGTTCCGAGGAGAAGAGGGGGCCCACTCAGAATGCTGACTACACAGAATCAGGGTTACCCTGGGAGGCCAAGTCTGTGATCTGCCTGGACAAGCGCCTAGAGACCTTCCGCCGGAAGTTCACCTGCCACTCCTTCAAAGCTGTCCCTTTGCTCCACATGCCCACGTGGTTCAAGTAGGACAGGGCGCCTGTGATGGAGCATGGGACTCCCAGACCCGCCCCTTCTACCTGGGACCCGCCCCTAAGCCGACTGCAGCGAATCCAAGATCCTGCTGGCTGTTCTCCCAGGGCCTGCCCTCTTCCTTGGGATAGCCTTGGGATTCCTCCCAAGTGGTCTTCCCTCCTGGTCCCATCTTTTCCTCCTGAGTCCCCGCAGAATGATTATACATAGGGCAGCTTAACAACAGAAGCTCAGCAGTTGAAAACTCCCAGCCGCCTTGTCCTAGAAAGACAAGGCTTTCTGCTCCTATAAAGAGTTCCAGTCTCTGAAACACACAGGGGCAGTTCGCCCCTGTCCCGTAGAGTTGCCATGAGTCAGCATTGACTCACGGCGGTGTGTTCCTTTGGGTTTGGTTACCTATTAAGACTCTACCTCTTCACCCTTTTCTTCTAAAAGTCCACTGGACCTGCGGAAAGACTGTCCTCCTAACCTTAATTTATACCCAGCCTTCTTGACACAGTCACTACCCCAGTCTTTCCTTGTCTGTGATTACCCCGCATTGCATCAGGTAAATCTGCTGCACATCTTTAGAGTCATGAAAAACAAGGATGTTACTTTGAGGACTAAGGTGCACCTGACCCAAGCTGTGGAGTTCCAGCCCCCACAATCAAATGGGCCCAAGGGGCAGTTGTGTCATTGAGGGGTAAAATTAAAGAGACATCAGACAAGATAAGGCATGCAAGGGCTCACCTCCGGGACCACCATGACTTCAGGAGCCAGGTCCACGCAGAGACAGAATCTAGTTCCAACTAAGGCTTGTATACACTCAGGCTGTGCAAGCCCCAATCACAAGTAACCACATACATAACAAAGTAGGCTGTACCCTGACCCTAAAGGTCCCTGAGTACATTGGAGGAGTGACCTAACACCAGTGCCAGGGGCAGGTAAGGGGGAGTGGCCGTCCTCAAGAGGCTGGAGAGCCATAGCATGTGTCTGCTCCTGTAGTTAAAGCTGCAGGCTACATAGCAATCAGCCATGTGCTTGTCAGGGGTAACTTTAAGGTAGCACTATGATGGGAGGATATAGTGGGGAACAATATTAATGATGAGAATGTGATTGGGATTCACCTCTGTGTCACAAGGGTGAAGGCCTCCCTCCACCCCAGAAACCCAGCCCGCCAGGCTTCTTAATAGATGAGACTAAAGGATTCATCTGTATACACTCTCTTCCCATTCTCTGCTTCCCATACCAGATCACCATGAAGGAGTCTGGGAGAAGTGGCTGAGGCAGTTGGCAAGCCATTGGCAAAAGGACTGGCCCTGCTCAGAATGTCTTCATGCTCTGGAGGATCCATTGTGTCTTCCAGAGCAGACAGCCAAGTGTCCCTCCAATCCTTCTCAACAACCCCATGCCAGTGTCCAAGACAATTAATCACAGTGGCCTGGTTAGTGTCCAGGAGCCTCTGCCAAGCCATCCAAGTCATCTCTCCTCCTTGTTCTAGGAACTCTCTTCTACTGGGACATTATTTCTTCTTTCCCCGTGATGATTCTTGTGTGAAACTGAGGACCGGGAAGAGAATGTATGTGGCCAAACTCTCTCTGTCTCAGGATTAAAGAAACCTGCAAGGCCAGGATGCTGGGTAGAGGGAGGCCTTCACATTTGTGAGTTGGAGAAAGGTCCCAATAGTGAGAGTCAAGTCTGGAATAGAGAATACTGAATGTTATGTTGGCTTGTTAGTAGCTGACACGTGGCCAGTGTTTCTTACAGTTCATTCCAATTATTCAAATAGAAATGCAAATGATAGAAAACAGCTCTCTGTCCCATCTAAAATAAGGCTTTTTTTTTTTTTAAGAAAATACTCTGGTGCCTTGGGTGAGCATTGGATGACGGAAATGCAAAGTTCTTCATTCAAACCCACCAGTTGCTTTGTGGGAGAAAGATGAGGCTGTGTGCTCTAGTCAAGATTATATCCTCAGAAGCCCTACAGAAAGATCACTGTGTGGGTTTGTTTGGGGTTGGGTTTAACTCCCTCTTTTTATTAAACAACAACAACAACAAAAACCCTCCCATATATTTTTCAGTAACAAAAAAATGGACTCCCTGTTCCATTATCTGAAGAAAACAAAACAAAAAAACACCCACAAACACAGAAACGAAAGAAGCCTTTTCCTTTTTCACAAACTCATTTAATTTCCAAACAAAAGGAAAATGCTCAACGTGACTTCCACTGCGTCGGAAGCCCCAAATTACAGACCCAATAAAAATACTAAAGACCTGGGTCTCTCTGCCCTCAGACTGGGAGTCTGTTCTACCCCCTCAGCTCCCTCCTCTCTGACCTAGCAGTCTAGGTGTGGGATGTCACTGTAAACAGGGACCGCCTGTCTCCACCACTAGATGCAGAGAGCACAAAGAACAGACCTGGATTCACTCTGGGGGACATGGGCTTTTTCACTTAGGGGCAGGTTGCTCGGGAAGGTGCGGTACTGCTTGATGGGCAGGGTCAGGGTTTGGTTAGCCTTGCCTACACAAGCCCGGGGGTCCTTCTTAAGTTGTTGCAGGCAGAGAAGAGGAGAGGGGGCTGTGAGGCAGGCCCAGAGCAGCTGCATCATCATCATCGTGGGAAGACTCCAGGATGTCCTACGATCCGCCTCCTCCAAGCGGCCTACAGCAGACAGACCAGGAGGAGTCGTTTGGGAGGCCATGGACCAGAGGGATGGGGGAATTCGTTTAGCCAACATCGGGTCCACAGGCCGGTCCTCCCCCAGATCCAGAGTCCTGCCTTTCAGCTAGTCATTTCCTTGGCCCCGCCTCTCCCCGCGCAACTTCCGCCTCGGATCCCTGTCTCTCCGGCTCCTTGTCAGAAGCTCCCCCAGACCCGTCCGCTTTGGAGACTCTCTAACTCTCGCGAAGCGAGCGATTTGCGTAGGCCACGCCTTTCAGCATCCGCCCCGCCTCCGGCTCCGCGGGAGTCGCTTCCCTTTCTGGCCCCGCCCATCCTCGGGGTCTTTCTTTTTCGCCGTCCCGTGTGGCTGTCCGCCGAACTGCCTGGCGAGCCTGACAAAACAACGGTTCTCAAAACGTCCATAGCTATTTCTCTCTTTTCCCAAACTCAAGGTCTCTCATGTCTTCAGAAAATCTGTGGCGGTCACAGGCGTTTATTCCTTCTCCAAGCCCGAACGCGGGGACCCCGACACAGGCGCTGTCTAGGACGCCTCAGGAAGTGCCCGGAATGGCGCCGGCTGGGGGCGGGCCTTAGAGCGGCCGCACACTATAAATTGCGGCGCCTTAGCGCGCGCACGCTCTTTGCTGCGGAAGGCGGTTAGGTAAGTAAGCTGGGTCTCTGGATGTCCGGCTTTTTCCGTTTCGGGGCCTTGCTTTTGTGGTACACGTGGCTTAAATGTCTAGTACTAGTACCATCACGTGGTGGGTGAGGTCGGGGTGGTCCGGAGGGACCAGGTGGCGGTCGCCGAGATGCCTCCCCGGTGTCTGGAGAGATGCGGGGCGCCGGAGGAGAAACGAGGGTGCCTGATGGCGGACGTGGGAGAGAGGGGTGGGGTTTCTGCTGCTAAACTCACTCTTGGGTCTCCGCCATCTTGCTCCCTTGTGGGGAGTGGGGCCTGTGGCGCCATGTAGGTTTCGTTTCGACTCCGGTCGGTCGGCTTTAAGGAGCTTCTGGTGCCACGGGAGGAGGATTTGGATCCGCATGGGGGGAAACGGCAGCCACGGTTACTAGGGGGAAGGGAGAGTAAAGTCCGGCTGAATGACTAAAGTGTGAATTTGCAGTAATTGATGTATTTGCCTTGGCAAACGTGTTGTGGCCGAAAGCCTGCCGAACGTAGACGCATGTAACAAGTAGAAAACCGTTTTCGCTAACGTTGATATTCAAAGTTGGTTTCTGAATCCGCCAATGACAAGTGACGCAGGGGCTGACGTAACGCGCAAGTACACGGCGTTAGACCCCCAACTGCCCCGTCTTGGGTTCTAAAACGAGACACGGTTGGTCGTTGGCTCTCTTACCGACTTTCTCGGAAGTTGGAATGGAAGGTCGCTGCCCCGAGCATAAGCCGCATGATTGTAAGTTATTGAAAGAAAAATCTCCGTGCCTAAAGTCGAAGCCTGACCCCACTGCCAGATTCCAGCCCCTGATCTCTGGCTTACCCCAAAAGGGAAGG